GACTGATCAGAGATGCAGCCAAGAGGCCCATGATCACTCTGGATGAACTACAGAGATCTACAGCTGAGGTGGGAGAGTCTGTCCATAGGACAACAATCAGTTGTACACTGCACAAATCTGGCCTTTATGGAAGAGTGGCAAGAAGAAAGCCGTTTCTCAAAGATATCCATAAAAAGTGTTGTTTAAAGTTTGTCACAAGCACCTGGGAGACACACCAAAGGTGCTCTGGTCACATGAAACCAAAATGAAACTGTTTGGCCACAATGCAAAACGATATGTTTGGCGTTGAAGCAACACAGCTCATCACCCTGAACACACCATCCCCACTGTCAAACATGGTGGTGGCAGCATCATGGTTTGGGCCTGATTTTCAGCAGCAAGGAAGATGGTCAGAATTGATGGGAAGTTGGATGGGGCCCAAATACAGGACCATTCTGGAAGAAAACCTGTTTGAGTCTGCAAGAGACCTGAGACTGGGACGGAGATTCATTTTCCAACAAGACAATGATCCAAAACTTAAAGCCACATCTACAATGGAATGGTTCACAAATAAACATATCCAGGTGTTGGAATGGCCAAGTCAAAGTCCAGACCTGAATCCAATCGGGAATCTGTGGAAAGAGCTGAAGACTGCTGTTCACTGTTTATTATATAACTTAATATATTTGTACACTGTTTTATGTTACATTTATGATTGTTTAATAAGTTTTTGCTTAACTATATTGATGAGATAATATATAAAACAATATAACCAGTCTGTGATAATAGGTAAGTTTAATTTAACAAAGGGGACATTATCCTGTATACTGTATATCTGAAGCTGCAAGGTATGTTTTTTTATTAGCCTCATAACATTTTTGTGAAAGTTTCTATTTTAGTTATGCAATACATTTTGAGAAACTAAAAATGATCTGAAAAATGTTCTCCATGCATATTAACAGATAGGACAAGATTTTAACTGTTAAGAGGCAATACTTATCACACAACAATTAGTAAAATGTACAAAAAAAATGTGTTTTTGCTAAAGATAATCCCACATTAGCTGTGTCATTGCCCTTATGTATTTTTTTAATGTTTGTTTTGTGCCATCTTGTAAAAATCAGCATAAGCCAGCCAATGACAGGTGAAACACTTTTTATAATTCATTTTATGAAAATGAATGGTGCGCCTGTAAGATGGAAATGCAAACGTTACTTCAAGCTGAAATATTCTGACACATTTATAATGTTGACATAAAGTTCGTAGAAGTTATGATCATTTTAAGTTTTACTTGTTTTTATAACACTGATTACACCAGCATCATTTACAAAACTGACTGGAAACGAGTTTGTGTTTTGACCTTTTAATCACGTTTAATAAACTAATAATGTATCGCTTACAATTTGATCATTAAGTGAGTAAAACTTTACAATGTTTTAGCTGTCAGCTGATGCAATACACTGCATGTTAAGGCAATAAAGTTAGCTGCTATGCTAACAGTAGCGCCGAACTGAGGTAAAGTCCCGGAGCTGCTGAGGCTCGAGTCACATCAAACACAACCTTCGTGTCGCTCTTACCCCTGAACTCCTTCCTTCGTCATGTCGAGTTATACGCTTGTACAAATCAAAAGAAAATATTTTTCAAAACTGCCTAACAGGATGAAACACCGCATCAGCTGTTCACAGCATGGACAGCCACCGGAAGGAAGAACTTGTTTTGACGGAGCACGAAATACCGGATGCGTGACATTCCGGCTGGAAACGCATCACAGAATGTAGTTCCGACTGGCTAATTCGTGTCCTGCAGACGGAGGTGGACGGTGTAAAAAATGATTGTGAACAGTTAAGGGGGAACTATTTTTAACTTTCGTCTAACATTACCAAAAAAAAAAAAAAAAAAAAAAAACTGTTTACATTCCTGCTGTTTTTGCACAGGTATCATTCACTTCTGTACATTAACAAAGAATCCAGTTAATAATAATAATGATATTAATAATAACAATGATGATGATGATGATGATGATGATGATGATAATAATAATAATAATAATAATATTGATTATGATATTATAATAATAATAATGATGGTGGTGATGATGATGATGATGATGATGATGATAAACTTTCAAATCAATCATATGAGCCAAAATCACTTATGGTTCATTCTGTGGTCTCGTTTTAGGATTCTCCATTAGTTTAAATGTGTTTAGGATTATAACCATGAACATGTGCAGTATTATAATTTACAGTCTTTGCTTATGACAGAGATTTAGTCACTTCTTGTCAAACATCTGTGGCCCCTCAACTGATGACACCATTCTATTTTTGACATCACAGACAAAGTCACCAGCAAAATTAAGGCTTTAACAAAATACATGCCATAACTCAACTAATTGTATATTTTATTTACAAAGAGGGATGTTTGTTATTAAAAACCCTAAATTTGGTCATGTTTTACACATTAGAGGGGAACACACAAGAAGAAAACAAACAAAAAATAAATAAAGCACATAAAAAGTAAACAAATTAGTGCTGTCAATGTATACATGATACATATAAACACAAGAACAAGTGTCCACCACGTGTGTACTGACTTACACCCATATTAACTCTAAAATAGTGAAATTACTTTGGCTGAGTGCACTAAGTGCATACAGGTATCCAGTAACCTTTGCAGAATTGGGCTGGCACAGCAAGTGACGGTGGTTTGTGTTCAGTGGGGTGTCATCAAAGCCTTTCTCAGGCTGTTGGCTGCAGGAGCTCCTGACGCAGGAAACAGCCTTCCTGCCGTTCACTTTCCTCTTAAAACAACGTAACCTTTAGCAGAACATGTCACTACACAAAAGGAACCTGCACTATTTGTTGTTCTTTTATTCTGAAGTTTGTAGGAACCCTTTGAAAAAGACAACTTTTTGTCAAAATCTCTTGTTTACATGTCTCCATTATTTTGAACATCAACATTATATTTCAATTAAGCTCATTCTCGGTTTTAAAACTTGCTTTGGCATAAAGAAAGGTAATGAGTTAGGAACAACTTCCTGCTCAGTTTAACAACTGTAGCCTTTAACCAGCAGGACATTATACAAGAAGCTTCTGTCTGTTGAAACATGGAATTGCCTCTTAAACATTAGTTTGGTAGAAGATAAACACTCCTATAAATGTCCTTTCAGATGAGCAGCTGGGGATGTGGGCTGTTGAATATTATATTTTACCATCACAGAGAGAATAAAGGTTTTAATAATGAATGAAAGGGAACCTTTGTGCACTCAAGAGTAAATTTCTTATGGGGCAGAGTATTTAAAATTTATGCAGTCAAGTGGGCATGTGAGCGTACTGGTGGAGGAACAGCTGTCATGCATTTATTTATTTTATCATGACGATGCTCAGTGTATTATTATTATTTTTTTTTATCAATTAAACCCATTAAAAGGCTGTATTGAACATTTAATAAACTCCAACATAGTCTGTTCAGGAGGTCCTTTATTAATTTGAGCTCGCATAGTCATCTGTTTTCATTTAACCCACCATTGAAATCTGTTTTTATTATTAAGAATTAAGTGTGTAAAAACGGTATATAACGTATGAACTAAGATTATCTCATTGCACAGGATGAGGTAGAGTTTTTTTTGTATTAATTCATGGTCATTCAGAACATTTCCGACCTAAAAAGTGCCTGTTGTTTTATCCCATTTCACAGCAAGACCAGTTCCCCAAAACAGGCATTAACCTTTTGACTTAATGGGAGCAATTCACACTTTTTAACATGCAGTGGCATGGAAATGTATCTTCACTGGAGCTTTGAATGAAAGCCAAAGTTGTATTGTACAAAGGTCACTTGATGGCTTCATTCTCCTTGACATCCATTGTTGTCTGCTCCCTTTGGTCTCCCCCTAAACACCCCTCTGTCACCAGCTCAGCCCAGATCAGCCTATTGCATTTAATGCAGATAAAAAGAGTGCACAGAAAGATTGATGTGGGTATGTGTTCAAAATGTGTTATTTTAGACCTTATCGTGTCACTGTCTTGTTAAGAGGAGATTCATTGCAAGTGATTTATTACATGAATCCTCATTAAAGACAACGTCTTCTCATTTGCATCCTCTGCATCCTGAATAATTTTGGTTTTGTAATTTAGTTAATGAAATTGACCTTCTCTATGGGGGTGAATGAGGGTTTTACTTGTTTACAAGCCAAACATAATAAAAGGCAGTATATCTTGCGAGGTGGAAAGAAAGAAAATAAGTCAGAGGGGAACTTAACATGCTAACGTTATTGTTAAGCAGCCATATGGGCACTAATTTGAAGTGAAATTTTCAGCCTTTGTGTTATGGCTGCTTAAGACGTAGAGTGCACAGATGTTCCTCCAATTACAGGGTCTGTCTGCTTCAGCCCTCCTGCCTTTTAGTCCAGTTCAGGTGGTGACATTTGTTAGACTTTCAACCCCCACTAACACTCAAGACGCACCCACTCCCGGAGAAGTGGTTTTAAAAAAAAAACAAGGGCTCACCATACAGGATTCATGGAAATAACGATACTTTTATTTTACAATGTAAAATAAATTTAAACGTATAAAAAAAAAAGCAACTCACACTTTCTTTGTTTTACAGTAAGAATGACGGCAATAAATAATAGCTTTCACATATTCACACAACTTTAAAAGCAAATGCTACAAACTATGTACATGGTTTCCAAAAAGCGTCTTCGAAAACAGCAAACAACGTCATACTAAACTCTGGTTTTACGTCACAAACGGTAAAAAAACGATAACATAGTGGACCTTAATTGTGAGGTTGGATAGATGGAAACGAGGCACAGCCTGCAGGACACGAACATCTTTTGAGGAGCAGAAAATCTGAAAATTGTGGAAAAACAAAACAAAAAAAAACTGTTTTCAAGCATACAAATACATATAAAAACAAACTCTCTTTTTTTTACAAATGTACAAAATGTAGTAAGATACTTGAACTTAAAAGTTAGCTTTTTTTCTCTGCTGAGAAGATAAAAGTCTATGAAATTGACCGAGTTAACTTGACAGAACACTTGAAGACTCGGACTCTGTGGACACAGACGGTCCCCGCTTCTTGGTCATGAGAGTCGCTTTCTGGCTTGATTTGCTGCTGTTGATGGTCAGTGTACTCCTGGCTGTTTTCTTAAACTTCACCCCCAAGAATGCGTAGAGAATGGGGTTCAAGCAGCAGTGAAAGTAGGCCAGCGCCTCCGTGATAGAAATCCACTTGTCCACCGCTTGCTCCAGCTCACAGGTGATGGGAACCACCTTCAGCATCATGAGCGTGTCCAAAAAGATACCGGCGCAGTACGGCAGCCAGCAACTGAAAAAACAGACGATGAGGATGACTGTAGTCTTCAGTGCTCTCTTCTTCAGCGCCTGGCCTTTGGCGCCTTGGGACAGCTTGGAGATGATGATGCAGTAGCAGGTGAGGATGATCAGGCCAGGAAGGATGAAGCCCACAAAGATGTGCAGAAACCGGAAAAAAACTGTCCACTCGAGATTCTTTTCCACTGGGTAAATACGTTGGCAGATAGTCCTTGAGTCAGCCGTCCCTATGCTGTCATCTGTGAAGAGGACTTGTGAGGAGCTTACATCCTGGACACGGGCAAACAGAAGGTCAGGTACAGTCAGGATGGCAGCAGGCAGCCACACCCCTACATATACCACTCTGTTCGCGAGCAGCTTCCTCGTGGCTTGGCTGTTTGTGGCACGAACAACCGCTAAGTATCTGTCCAAGCTGATGAAGGCCAGGATCAAGACACTGCTGTACAGGTTAACTGTGTAGATCATGTGCACGGACACGCAAAGAAAGCCTCCGAAGTACCAGGACTTGGCTGCATCCACAGCCCAGAAGGGCAGCGTGAGGACAAACAGGAGGTCAGCCACGGAGAGATGGAGCCGGTATTTGTCCGTCATCGTCTTGACCTTCTTCTGGTAGCCCATGACCAGAACAACCAGTCCATTGCCAACTATCCCCAGGATAAAGATTAATCCGTAAACTGTGGGATGGAAGATTTTGTAGAAGTCTCTGTTTGTATCTCCGCCACATGTCTCCTGGAAGCTCAGATCCATGTCTCCAGATGCCTCTGAAATGTTGTCAGTGCTGTTGTCAAAAAACAGGGTGTCATATGGATAGAAGGAAGTCGCCTGGATGAAGAAGAAGAAAAACAGTTTGTATGGAGGAAAAAAAAAAAAAACCAGCACAGATTAAACAACATGCTGGTTAAAAACTATAGTTTTAAACAAGTTGGAAAGTCATGTTCAACTTTGAAGGGTTTTAAAATGACAAAAGTTAGTTTGCAAAATCAAAATAACATGAAAAGGAGCAGGTGAAGAAAGGCTTTCTAGAAGAATGTTGACAGTAAACAGCAACAACTGCCACAGCTGTCCCATCAGCAGCAGCACTCACCTCCATGTTTAACCACGCATGGACGTTTGGGACCAGTGAACGTGACTTGTCTGTTTGCAGGTTGATGAGAAGTAGTAACTGCGTGGGGCCGACTTTCTCCATAAGTAGTTGAGGCCCGGGGGGGGGGGGGGGGGGGGGCGACCCCTCCCCTTCTGGGAGGAGGAAGAGGAGGAGGAGGGGCAGGGCGGTGCACTCCAAAAACAGCTTCACTATAAAACCAAAACGCCAAGTGTTGGTGGCAGAGGCACTTTGTGAAACTGTCTGCAGACAAATAACGGACCGAGTTGAGGTTTTTGGAGAATTTATCAAGCATCAAACCAACTTGGATTATTTTAACAGATCTTTGGTTTGCAAGTGATGATTTTTTTGTTTTGTTTTTTTGCGTATGTATTCAGTCAAAAGTGTCTTTTTTAATCAATAAATTCACAAAGTTCAAATTTCTGATTCTTAATTTTTTTTTTTAACACGAACAATATTTTAGTTGTATTAAAAGTCTCATCTTTCGACAAAATATATGTTGCTTTTCATGCCAGTTACAAACAGAAAGCAACTGTTTTGGTCTAATCTTGTAAATGATGCTTTAAGTATAACTCTCATCTACCACCACACCAAATTTTATCTCAATATCTGCACAATTGACTGAGCTATTGCCATTTTTCTGCACTTCCCAGTGTTGCCAGATCATCGATTTTTTCCAGCCCAAAAATCTGTTAAAAACCGCCACGTCACACAAAAATCTGTCCAGTCAATATATTGCTACAGCATATTTACTGTTTGAACATGAACACACATCAGTACAAGCCAAGGTAATTTAACAATATGTGGCAAAACGCAACAATCCAACAAAAATCTGCCCAGAGTTCCCAGCAAAATCAGAATGAAAATCGCCAAATTGAGTAGTAAACCGCCCAATCTGGCAGCACTGGTAGTGGCCACCCTAAATTAGATTATTTTAAAAAATCAGATATAGATGCACACCCATTGATTATCTTCTTAAACATTTCATTAAAAATTGTCCAATATTTCATGACATATTTTGCTAACAGTCAAAATCATAATTGTCCTTTCGTATTTGATAAAAATCAGTGTTATAGAGACACCAGAAAGCCCCTAAAGATGCCCCTCCAGCAAAATATTGGTGCAAGAGAGAGAGAGCCATTCAAAGCTTAGGCTTTTCATGTAACATGTCAGCTCTCGAGCCTTACAAAAGCACTTCCCTCCCTAAGTCTGCATGAAGCTGAAGACTGACAGTACACCAGTCATTTGAGGTCTCATCCCAGCCGTGCATTTTTCTCTACAAATCACTTCATAACTGGGTCTGATGACAGTTTTCATCAGCGGAGGCCCAATTCGGCTCTCACCTTTATCCACATTCTGTCACTTCTCAGTGGCTGTTATGCCTGGGCTCCCAAGTGCTAAATGAGTCCCCAAGTGGATTTAAAGAGAGCCGCACGCCCAGTAACGTTGGGTTTCTGTCACAATGCGTTTGAGCCTCAGTGTGGGGAGCATTCACACTCTCAGGACCTTCACCGCAGCAGCACACTTATTTCAGTTAAAGAAGTGATGGCAGGGTCCTCATGAAACTCCCCTCTTTCCTCACACGCGAGGAAATGCGTGTGTGAAACCTCATATCCTCCATGTGGCATGCAAATGCTACTTCTGTCTTTGATATATGAGCACAATGATTGATTCGGTTAGTCGATCTGCATCATCGATTTTCCTGATATACATCATTTGTGCTAAAGAGAGAGGGTGAACATTTATATCCAGCTGCATTGCATCAGAGACAGATAACGATAGTTTCTATATTAGACATCTGTCAAGGGCTCAGTATGAGCATGCATTTATTTTTTATTTGTTAGAGGGGCAGTAGATCTCGAAAAGCTTTGCTATAGTTCACAACTTAGTTGTGAAACATTTGTTTTAAAGGTGCTTAGCAAAAAGGGGGAAGTCTGGGGAAAAACACCATTGTGTCTGAATCATAAACATTCCTACTGCTATTAAAAGATGGGATGAAACCTGTTTCTGTGGCTTGATTCACTTTGAAGCGCTTTACATTAGTGACTTTTACATCATCCATGTCCATTATGTTTACTCACTTCTTACCTGAGTCAGCCTCCCCACCATCACAGACATCTACACCTCCAGATGTATGAAGAGAGGCACCTGCATCATGAAGGACCCCACCCACCCAGCACACACTTTTTGCCCCGCTCCCCTAGGAAGGAGGTTAAGGAGCATTAAGTGTAGAAACACTAGACTGAGGAACAGCTTCTACCCTGAGGCTGTTAGACTCATGAATATCTAATCAGGATAATCACTGTGACAAATCACATCATGTTGCTGCTGATCTGTTTCATGTTGCTGCTGATCTGTTTCATGTTGCTGTGTTCATTCGTGCTCATCTGCTCACACAGACTCATGTTCGTGCCGCTGTTTGGCGTATTGTTTTTATGCCATGCTTAGCATATTTTTAGCTGATGTTTTTCTTAATTCATATCCTAGATTTTATTACTGTTTTTCTTTTACATTTTATTGTTGGATGTAACTGGGACCCTGTGTACACAATTTCATTCCACCACATGTACCACATGTACCACATGTACCACATGTGGTGCGAATGACAATAAAGAATCTCTGCATCTTCTTCCTTTCTGAGTCGCAGGGCTCACTGGTACAACCTGGTTGAGTCGCAAGTACTTTACCATGATGTTCACCTAAAATAAGCAAGTGCTAAATAATTCAAGCTTATTTTCATCGTGACCTTTGTTATGGTTCTTTATCACATGACCTGAACTCTCACATTTCATGAAAAACTTGTACTTTTTCTTTTCCACCTGTTGGTCGATGTCCAAAATCCCCTGGAGGGGGGAGAAACAGTTTCACTTTCTTCACACAGTTTGATTTGCTATTAAAAAAAAAGTTTAAAATGCAATCATGGAAACATTGTATCTGTAAGGACAAAAACAAAGAGATCAATAAATGTTGCTTTAATGTAATATTGAACCGTTCAGGTCTTTAAAAAGTAAGGCAGCCACTAGGGAGCACAAGCCAGTGTATCTCTTGTGGAAGAATGACTCACTGTGAAGAGGGACAAGCCGAAAGAAGAAGAAGAAGGAGCTCTTTAAAAAGTAATAATGAGCAGTTAACGGAGATAAATGAAAGTGCTAAGTACATGCTGAGGCTTATCAAAGTACCGTAAATTGGCTTAATCCTGTGTGTTGTCCTTCAGAACCGCCTGCAGCAAGACTCCCAAAGAGAAGAAACTCAGGGAATGCTCAGAGAAAAGCCTCTGTATGGGTATAACTTTCTTATCAACACTATTCAGAAGCGGACAGTTCCTCTGTTATCTGTCTGCAAGCACAACTCTAGCATTTCATCTGCAGTGCACGCAGCATTTTGTATCGTACATTCTCCAAATCACTTTCAGAAATGAAGGGAAAGTCCACTGGCTCGCTTTCTGAGCAGTTCTTTGATTAAATTCCTCTGAAACATTAGCATGTTTTTATAAAAATAACAGTTTGCCCAAACTGGACAAAAAGCTGATTTAGAATATAATTGTATTTGGTTGTATTAATTCAATTTAATTCAGTTTACAATGGCATATAGTATCATTTCATAAGAGTTCGTCACACAAAAGCCAGCTAAAGTCATGAACTTAATTAAGTCTGAAACAAATTCCAATTAAAATCCACAGTCAATTTATTTAAAATGTAACAGTACATTATGAGATGTCAACTAATAAAAGTTATCCATCAGAAGAAGACTGCAAGTTGTGTGAAATCTTTACATCTTTTCAATCCCTGATCCCGAGCAGCAGATTTGTGACACTGAAAAAGAAGGACTCCATTTTTACAGTAAGTAAACCAGCTGAACCAGGATCAGGACGAGCCGCCATCTGTCTCAGCTGGCTGGGGTTAGAGACAACAGGAAGGAGACACAGACAAACAGGATGTGGTTTAGGTGTAGTTTTTATGGGATGAAAAACAAATTAGGTTAACTGTAGCAACTATTGTGAATATAAATGTGGAGCATAAAGACAGTGATGATCGCAGGAGAGGGACGAAATGCGGGCATTATCTCCTTCAGCAGTCTAAGGCTATAGCAGCACAACTAAAGGATAGCTCGTGTAAACCCAAACTAACTCACTTTATCAAATAGGAAAGTTTAAGCCTAGTGTTAAAAGCAGACAGGGTGTCAGCCTCACAGACAGAAACTGGAAGTTGGTTTCCCAAAAGAGGAGTCTGATTTCTGAAAGTTCTCCTTAATTGAAGAAGCTCTAGAAACCACAAGTAAACCTGAAGTCTGAGAGTGACAACGTGCAATGTGGGTAAAATGTGGAACAATAAGATCTTTAATACTGTGTAAATCTAATGTTATTAATGTATTATTATTATTATTATTATTTTTTAATATATGTGAATATTTTTGTGCAGTGCCCCGAGACAACGTCTATTGTGATTTGGCGCTCTATACTGTAAATGGACGCTCTATGAATGGAAGCTCTCAACCTTGACCTCTCTAAGGGATTTTAATCAACTGCTAAGTTCATGTCAAAAACCAACACAGACATGTTCCTGTTTAATTTCTTCTATTTCATTTCTTTCTATGTCTTTGTTTAACGCAGGTCTCTCTTGTAAATGAGTCTTTGTGGATCAAAGAGACTAACCTGTATAAATAAAGGTTGAATGAAAACTGAATGGAAATTAAAAACTAAAATGAAACTGGGTTTTTGGGTTCTACAAGCTATCCTTTTCTTTACAGTAAAACCGGTCATTTTTGACATTTACAGCATTCTTGTTCTTAATGGTAAAAATTTACACGTAAAGCTTTTTATAAGTTTGTTCCTTCAGTTGTGTTTGCCTTGAAATTAAAAAAAGACATCATTGTAATCAATCTTCTTTTGCAAATAATCTTTTCACACGCTGTTAACCTCATGTTCACATGGAGCTCGCGGTTTGGTTGGATTTCAACAGGTCCTTATAATAAATAAGACAACAAATAGGACATTTTTTATTAGCCTCCAGGAGGATCCCCGCAGCCTGCCATGTCAGTACGAGCCCTCAGATCGTTATCGGCCCGGAATACAAAAGAACTGCGAG